TTTTCATGTTAGAACCAGTTTATCATTTGTTCAAGAAAATTTTTATCCCTGTATACTCTCAGTTGATGGCTCTGTTTCCCCCTGTCTCTGTGTGTTCTGGTCAAACTCAACTATATTCTTCCTTAAAAAATTGGGAGTAGGAAGCAACTTTTCTTTTTTTTTAAATTATATTTTATTGATTTTTTACAGAGAGAAAGAGAGAGGGATAGAGAGATAGAAACACCGATGAGAGAGAATCATCAATCAGCTGCCTCTTGCACACCCCCTACTGGGGATGTGCCCGCAACCAAGGTACATGCCCTTGACCGGAATCGAACCGGGGACCTTTCAGTCCTCAGTCCGACGCTCTATCCATTGAGCCAAACCGGTTTCGGCAGGAAGCAACTTTTCTGATTCAACATATATAAAAACTTACAGCAAATAAAATAATTAATGGGAAATCTATACATGCCTTCCCATTAACCAAAAAAAAAAAAAAAAAATCCCCAAAACCAAAAAAAAAATTTCCTTTTTATTGTCACAATAATTTAATATGGTATTGGAGGTTGTGACCAATATTATTTAAGACCAGCATAAAGGAAAGGTATAGGAAATGTATGAATTTGAAAAAGACATACATAAATTCCATTACTTGTAGAGAACATAATCATTAAGAGATAAACCTAATATACTTTAACAGTCATATTTATTTTTATTTTTTGTTAATTCTCACCTGAGAATATTTTTCTGCTGATTTTTTATAATAAATCTTTATTGTTCAGATTACTACAGGTGTTCCTCTCCCCCTCCCCCACATAGTTCCCCTCCACCTGATTCCCCACCCCATCGCATACCCTTACCCTCGCCACTGTCTTCATCTATAGGTGTAAGACTTTTGTCCAATCTCTTCTCACACCCCTCAGACCCCTTTTCCACTGAGAATTGTTAGTCTACTCCTTTTCTATGTCCCTGATTCTATTATATTCACCAGTCCATTCTGTTCTTCAGACTTCTTATTGCTTGATTTTTAGATTCACTTGTTGGTAGGTATGTATTTGATGTCATTTTGTTGTTCGTAATTTTTATCTTTACCTTTTTCTTCTTCCTCCTCTTCTTAAAGAATACCCTTGTAGACTGTGTGGGGCAGAGTCTCAGGGCAGAGTCTCAGGGCATCACTAGGCTGGGCGTGGCTAACAGCAATGGCTGCCCATCAGCCATCTCTGCCTCTCCAAACGAGTCCCCAGGTCTCCCCGCATATTATGCCACCACACAGCAAATAATTATTCTTGCGCACAGCTCTTCAAGCAAGCCACCCTCACTTTCTGACCCGATGGCAGACAGTCTAGCTTCTCTCCAGAAACTGGATTTCAGAGAGATTGGGAGATTGTTTCTCTTCTGATTGAAGATAGCAACGCCCACCGCCAGCACCTTTTCGTGTGTGCACCCCCGTACCTCAGTTTTTCAGAGCTTGTGCTTTGAATGCTCCTTTCTCTTTCAGTCTACTTGTAGAGCTCCCTTTCAGCCAGCTTTCCCGTGGTTCTGGGTGATAGACATTTTGTATTTTAGTTGTAGTTTTGAAATTGTTGTGCACAGCAGCAGTTTAGGTGTGTTTACTTATGCCGCCATCTTGGATCCCTTTTCTGCTAATTTTTATAGAGAGTGGAAGGGAAGGGGGGAGACAAAGAGAGAGAAACATCAGTATGAGAGAGATACATTGATTGATGTCTACTATACAGGCATGGCAGGGTCTTTGCCTCTGGTCTATTGCCTCAAGCATGATCCCCAAATGGGAACAAAGTTTGAGGGCTGATGCTCTATCCACTGAGCCAAATAGGCTAGGGCTAACAGTCTCATTTAAAAACCTACATAAGTTTAGAAAACTTTCTATATGAACACACACAAAAAATCAAAACTTATGACACTCTTGCTATAACTAGAAAATTAAATATAAAAAATAAGGTATCCCTTGCCTGGCCAGTGTGGTTCAGTGGTTTAGCATCAACCTAGGAACCAGGAGGTCACTGTTCAATTCCCAGTCAGGGCACATGCCTGGGTTGTGTGTTATATCCCCAGTAGACGACATTCAGGAGTCAGCTAATCAATGATTCTCTCTCTTCATTGGTGTTTATTTTTTGTGCTGTTGTTGTGTGTGTTTTTTTAATCCTCACCCAAGGATACTTTTCCATTGATTTTTAGAGAAAGAGGGAAAGATAGACGGAAATATCAATGTGAGAGAAACACATCAATTGGTTGCCTCCTGCAGCTGAGTCAGTGAGTGAGAACCCAGAACATCCAAAAGAAGGCCAAGGCCTCACAGCAGCTTGCATTGCTTCACAGGTGGGCCTCATGTAGGCACCTCCAAGACCCAAACAAAAAAGAGGAATCTACAGATATCTCTATAGCTCCTGCTCGGTGGCCTCAGGCTGAGGCTAAATTAGCACCTCTTTGGAAATCCAAGAGCCAGTGTACCCAGGGGTCAGAGTAGGGCCATCCAGATTACAACTCCTCAGATATATAAGGGACACAACTCAGGGGGCAGACTCAGTAAGCACCAAAGCCCCACTGGAACATGTCTTGCCTCATAAAGATGTCTCCAGCACAGAAGTTCTCCCATTGTAGACACAGCTGATACAGTCAAATGACCTGGAAGTAAATTCCTTCCAGTGATACCAATAACAATCAAGGCTTAACTACAAGACTGTACACACAGCCCACAAAGGGGTGCACCAAGAGTATCCACCTCAGGCAACTGGGGAGGTTGAGTCACTGGCCCTATAGGACACCTAGCAAATAAAGCCACTCTATCAACACAGGGAAGCATCCAAAATGTAGAGTCAAAGAAACAGGTCACAAATGAAAGAAATGGAGGAAAGCAAACAACTGGATATAGAGTTAAAAACCACACTATAAGGTTTTTCAAGAATTTTCTGGAAAAAGGCTGATAAATTTAGTGAGACCCTTGAGGAAATGAAAAAGGACCAATTAGAAATTAAGCATACACTGACTGAAATAAAAAATAATATACAGAGATCCAACAGCAGACTAGATGGTCACAAGAATCAAGTCAAATATTTGAAATACAAAGAAGCAAAAAACACCCAACTGGAAAAGGAAAAAGAAAAAAGATTCCAAAAATGTGAAGATTGTGTAAGGAGCCTTTGGGACAATTTCAAGTGTACCAACATCAGAATTATGGGGGTGCCAGAAGAAGAGAGCAAGATACTAAAAACCTATTTGAAGAAATAATGACTGAAAACTTCCCCCACCTGGTGAAATAAATAGACATACAAGTCCAGGAAGCACATAGAACCCCAAACAAAAGGAATCCAAAGAGGACCACACCAAGACACATTATAATTAAAATGCCAAGAGCAAAAGACAAAGAGAGAATATTAAAAGCAGCAAGAGAAAAACATTTATTACCTACAAGGGAGCACCCATACAACTGTCAGTTGATTTCTCAACAGAAACTATGCAAGCCAGAAGGGAGTGGCAAGAAATATTCAAAGTGATGAATAGCAAGAACCTACAACCAAGATTACTCTACCCAGCAAAGCTATCATTCACAATTGAAGGGCAGATAAAGAGCTTCACAGATAAGAAAAAGCTAAAGAAGTTCATCACTACCAAACCATTATTATATGAAATACTGAAAGGTATTCTTTAAGAAGAGGAAGAAGAAAAAGGTAAAGATAAAAATTATGAACAATAAATACATATCTATCAACAAGTGAATAAAAAATCTGATGAACAAAATAAACTGATGAATATAATAAAATCAGGGGCATAGAAAGGGAGTGGATTGACAAGTCTCTGGGGGAAAGGGGTGTGTGGGGTGCGGGAAGAGACTGGACAAAAATTGTACACCTATGGATGAGGACAGTTTGGGGGTGGTAAGGGCAGAGGGTGAGGTGGGAACTGGGTGGAGGGGAGCTAAGGGGGGGGGAGGAGCAATTGTAATAATCTGAACAATAAAGATTTATTTTAAAATAAAATAAATAAAGTATTTAAAAAAGAATTAACCTAAAAACAACAACAACAGCAATACACACACACACACACACACACACACACACACACACACACAGTAGATCCAGAGAAGTGAAAGCATGCAAGAAGCTGGGTACTTTAAGTTGTCTTGTTGGATCTGTACAACGTTATGAAGGAGTACTGTTATCCCATTAGATGAATAAGGAAAAGTTCAGAAGGGTTAAAGAATTTGTCAAAGGCACAGGACTGGATCCCAGTTTTGTTTGGGCTGGTGCTCTTTTTACTACATTATCATGAGTAACTGTGGGATCAGGTTGAAACTGTGAGGCAAGGCTGGAGAATACTTGTTCAGCACACATCAGAAAGTAGATTGATAGACAGAGCTAAGTTTATTGTAGTTGTCCTTTTTTTTTCTCTGATTACTAGGAATACCATATTCAAGTAACAAATTTAATTGTTTGAGAGATGTAAAGGCAAATTGTGGTAGAGTGAGTGGCTTTAAAGCAAGGAATTTGTATTCTTATATTCATTCACATTAAGATAAAGGTGACCTGTAAACTTTGTAAACCTTGTTGTTCCCCCCCCAAAAAAAATCGTGGATGATTCTTTTAACTGGACTGAGATCCATAGATCCAAAAGTGCATTTCAAGTGGTGAAATTTCAGGTATCAACCCAAACAGCAAGAGCGGTGTTTTATTATGCATGGGTGAGAGGAGAGTTGGGGAACTTCTTAATTCTCTAAATTAAATAAAATATTCAATTGCCTTCTCTGCATCCATGTGTGAACAATTTTTCCTTATAGGAGAAATAACACTGGTCTTTGCTGATGCACATGGAGATTCCTTTAGAAATGGATTTGTTTTGGAAGTTAACTTTGGGAGGATTTTTATTTCATTTTTTTTTGAAGCAGCTATGATATATTGAGGGAGAAATTTAAACTAACAACTTTCTCTTTTTCTTTGCAGCAAAGTCAAATGGAACTACCATTCCTTAAAAAATGAGTATCATACATGTGAAGAGATTTTTTTCTAATGGTAACTCTGAGGCCTGGAGCTGACAAGATGGGCTTAGAGAACCTCCTGCCTCCTCAACAGATCTGGCTCATTTTAATAGGATTTTCTCTGCTGTCTTTGGCAGAGACATACGGATTCAAGAAATGTACACAATATGAATTGGACATTCACCATGTTTTCTGCATTCGGAAAAAGATCACCAACTTGACAGATGCCATCTCTGACATCCCTGGATACACTACTCACCTCAACATGACACAAAACCAAATTGAGGTCCTTCCTCCCTATTCCTTCACTAATTTGTCTGCTCTGATGGACTTGCGACTGGAGTGGAATTCTATATGGAAGATTGAGGAGAGGGCCTTTTGGGGACTTGAAAACCTGACCCTTCTGAATTTAGTAGAAAATAAGATTCGAAGTGTGAACAACTCCTTTGAGGGCTTGCCCAACCTGGAAACTTTGCTCCTGAGCCATAATCAAATTACCAATATTCACAAGAATGCCTTTGCTACTCTTTTAAAATTAAAACACTTAAGTTTATCTAGAAATTTTATTACTAATATTTCCAATATTCTTGAAGCAGTTCAGCATCTTCCTCACCTAGAATACCTTGATCTCACTAACAATAGCATCATCTATCTGGACCACAGTCCCAGGTTATTGGCTTCACTGACCCAGCTGAGTCTGCAGGGGAACAAGCTAATGGAATTAAATTTCTCTTCTTTGTCACTGCCTAATCTGACCACTCTGGATGTCTCTCGGAATAGCCGTGGAGTCATCCAGAATGTTGCTCTGGAAACTTTACCCCAGCTAAGGAGCTTGAATCTAAGTGGAACATTGGTAAAACTGGAGATGCTTCCGACCAAACACCTGCAGAATCTACGGGAAATGGATCTTAGTGCCCAGGAGTTTAGAGGTGGTCATTTAAACTTGAACAGTGTGTGTCACCTTCTCAGACACTTGCCCAGATTACAGGTTTTGATTTTTAGAAAACAGGCCACTAATGCAGGGGACATAAAACACCTTGCCAACTGTACCAGGCTTTTGTTCCTTGACCTGAGCCAAAATAATAATTTGGTTCACCTCAATGACAGTGAGTTCAATGCTATGCCCAGCCTTCAAAGGCTGAATCTAAATAAGTGCCAACTTTCCTTTGTCAGCAACTCCACCTGGAGTGTCCTCCAGAACTTGACAGCTCTATATCTGTCAAACAACAAGTTTGAAAGATTTCAAGATTTTGCATTTTCACCTTTGAGATACCTACAATCTCTTTTCCTCTCTAGAAATCCCATCACAGATCTCAATGCTATGGCCTTCTATGGGCTGTATTCATTGAAGGAGCTCAACTTGGCTGGGTGCTGGATAGTGAAAATTGACAAATATACCTTTGCTCAATTTCCAAATTTGGAGAGTTTAGACCTTGGTGACAACAATATTAGGACTCTAAAACGCAGAACTTTTCAGTTTCTGAAGAAACTCCAAGTTCTGATTCTCTCCCGGAACCGCCTGAATATTATAGAGAAGTATGCATTTTCTGGCCTCAATTATATCTGTAAACTTGACCTGGCATACAACATCTTGTCAAGTTTTAGGACAGGTATTTTCTTGGGCCTTGAAAATCTAGAAGTTTTGAATCTCAGTTTTAATAAAATTACATATGAAACCACTAGGACCCTGGTATCTCCTCCATTTATGAACCTCAAGTCTTTGAAACAACTCAACCTAGAAGGACAAATGCATGGGATTCAGGTTGTTCCAACCAACTTCTTCCAAGGACTGGATGGCTTGCAGGAGCTACTACTAGGCAAAAATTCCATGGTATTCTTGGACCATCTCCAATTTGACTCCCTTACTAATCTCACAAAGTTGGATATCTCAGGAACAAAATCTGGAGACCGAAGTCTCTATTTAAATATTTCCTTATTCCAAAAACTCAAAAGACTAAAAATGCTGCGTCTGGAAAACAACAACATTGAGTCGCTGACTCCTGGCATGTTCTCTGGCTTAGAAAGCCTTCAGATATTCTCTTTAAGATTCAACAACCTAAAAGTCATTAATCAAAGTCTTGTGAAGAACCTGAAGTCGCTGATGTTCTTTGATATCTATGGGAATAAAATTCAGTGCATCTGTGACAATTTGTGGTTCAAGAACTGGTCAATAAACACAGAAAATGTCCATATCCCTTACCTCCAGAGCTATCACTGTGAGCCAAATACCGAGAATTTGTTGATAGATTTTGATGATGCTATGTGTAATTTTGATTTAGGAAAGGTTTACTTCCTCTGCTCCTTCACTCTCGTCCTCACAACCATGGTTGTCTCTTGGTTCAGTGCCAAGATAACATCATCTCTAAGGTATGGGCTCTACATATTTCAAGCCTGGTTCCTGGCCAAGTGGCGTAGGACAGAGAAGGAATTCATCTATGATGCCTTTGTCTCTTTCACTGCCACTGATGAACAATGGGTATATGAAGAGCTTGTTCCAGCCCTAGAAGGTGGGCAGCCCACCTTTAAGCTCTGTCTTCACCACCGGGACTTTGAACCAGGTATAGATATCTTTGAGAACATACAGAATGCCATCAACACCAGCCGAAAAACTTTGTGTGTGGTAAGTAACCACTACCTGCGCAGTGAATGGTGCTGCCTTGAAGTACAGTTGGCCAGCATCAAGATGTTCTATGAGCATGAGGATGTTATTATCTTGATCTTCCTGGAAGAGATCCCAAACTATAAGTTATCCACCTACCACCGACTGAGGAAACTTGTGAACAGGAAGACATTTATCACTTGGCCAGACAGTGTACATGAGAGGCCACTCTTCTGGGCTCGTATTAGAAATGCATTGGGCAACAAATCTGTGGAGAAAGACAATGCACAGCTAATTGTGACTGAATGACCAGAAGTCTATGTGACATTAAATCTAATGTTGCCCAAGTTATGTATAGTCCGAGAGTGTGACTGAATGTACCTGTTTGGCAGGGAAAAGGATGAGCTGCTCATGACCATCAGACCTAGGGTCATTTGGTTAATGTCCATTGGGTAATTGGAAGAATGATGGAGGGAGGGATACTTGAGGAAGCTTCAAAAACAGTGTCCCTACTCTAAGGGAATGGATATCTGGCAAGTATATCTATTTTATTAAAGGGAGGACTTGGGAGAAAAGTCACCTGAAAGTATGGGAATCAGGAGATCCCTCATATGTGCCTGAGAACATTGTTAAACTAATTTCTCCAAGTCAGTTCCTGTAAAGATCGATAGAATTGGCTCTCCTGCACATACTCTAATTCAGGGAGCAAGGCCATGCCATCCCCTTCCTCCTTCCCTTCCTCCACAGGCATGTATCCCCCAACCCAGGGGACTTGCAAACATGGCAGATTGGCTGCTGCAGCTTGTTCTGAGCTAACCCCCTCAACCTGTCTCCAAGGCCGCCTTTTCTCTGACTTCCCAGTGAGCTAAAGAAGCCCAGCCATTTTCTCTCTTGACTGGCCAGCTCTTCATTTGGAATGTAAGCAGCCTGGCCATTTTGTCTCACACTCTCTCAGCTGGCACATGCCTTGTTTGGAATGTATCTTCAATAAACCCCATACTGCTTTACTTTTGTTTTTGTTGACTTTAAAATCTTTTCTGCATCAATGAAAAGAACTGAGGCCCTAGCCAGTAACCCCAGTCAGTGACATCTTTGTGGTGCTGCAACTTGGATTGCACAAACCATAAGTCTTCTGGCCATGAGGCTGGAGAAAGAGCTATTTTACTCTTCTTTCTTGTCCAGGATTGGGAAGGCAAGGCAGTAAGTAGTTCTAGTTAAAGGGGGATAATTGCCTTCAAGCAGAAAACTAAAGCAACTATGAGTGCCTGTGGATGACTTGGCACTGACGATACAAGGCACATCTTTCCTCCAGAGTGTAAGCAGACACTCTCAGGTGACTAGGGTCATTGTGGAGGTGTCTGATGGCCTCCCTTGTGATGTGCAAGGGCTTAATAGGGACTTCAGGATACAACTGTAATTAAACTTTGACCCATCTGGTGGGTGCATATAAGGTTTGGTCACCAGGACTCCAGGTCCTCACTCCCTTTTTTTAGACAGCTGTTGTTGGAAGCTGCCCATTGCCTTCACTAGCAGAAAGGGTGGACAAGGAGTCCAGAAGGCTGGTCAACCTTGAGACTCAGGCAAGGGTCAGAGCCATGCACCCACTGTCTAGTTGAGACAAAGGGAGCTAAGCATGTAAATCCTGTCACCAAACTATTACTGGAATTGCCTGCCTAAGGGCTATGGGTGTATACCAAACCTGAATAAAAGGGATGGCAAGGCCAGAGCAAAGTGGAGTCCTTCCTTGAGCTTCCGCTTTCCCCCCAATTTCCAAATTATTATTTATTGACTTAGCTCTTTCATTTCCGATGGGCCTCCTCCAGAGTCCAAACCCAAACCCTGAACCTGAATCCTGAACCACATGGGATGTGGGACACGCACAAGCCTTGAGAGAAACCAAGACATGTAAAAGGAAAGAGGATGACCATGAGGTGTCATGGCCTCTGAGAGCCTCTTCCCAAAGCAGCCTATTTTTACCCACCACATTGATCCCAAGAATTCTGCTTGCAATCATAATCCCTCCACTCCCACATTATCAGCATATAATTCTGTCATTGATGCATTGTTGTGATTTAATATGCATTGCCTGCCCAACTAGACTGCTAGATCTACACTCTTAACGGGAAGTACCATGGTAAAATTTATACTGTATCAGTGTTCCCACAATCTGGACAATGTAATGAGGAGGAAACTGGTCTTTTAAGGCACATTAGGCCGTAAAAACTGCGAATAATGCACTGCCCTGAGGGGAGTCATTATCCCTGGCCCCAGGACAGATCATCAGATACCTGGGGATCTTCCTGTCAACCCATGAAAGGGGGCGGAACCATATCTACAAGACAAAGGCCCCAGCAGGTTATAAAAAGTGAAACCCTCAAGAGAGTTTCTTCCACAGAGAAGAAAGGGGGCAGAGAACAAAGGAAGGCTGGTGGATACTCCCAGGTCATAGGGTCTATGTCCCAGAACAGTTAGCCCATAAGGTAGTCTTCCAGTGGCATGAACTCACTCATTTAGGGAAGGCTGCCCTAGAAGCTTTGTTAGGCAGGTAATACCTAATTACTCATCTACCCTCCTTGTGTGCCTCATGTTACGGAGCGAGTCCCCAAGAGATGGACCACCAGAGCCAATTTGATTAAGCATGCTAGAATTTATTACAGATTCTAATCCGGGCTCAAACCATGGCTGACGCAGCAGCCAGCAAACACCCAGGTAAGAGCCCCGATGGAGGGGCAGTCCCTCCAGAGCACTCACACAAAAACACAGACAAACACACACCTACCGCGGCCAGTCCGGCTCTCCGGATCAGGGTCCCTCATGGTCCTAGGACCACCAGGGAGCCGAATCCGATGCAATAAACAAAAGAGCCTTCTCCATGCTAGCATGGGCTGTCCCACTCACACCAGCAGCATGGCGGAAGAGAGCGAACTTGGTCCAGTCCAGGGGTTTTACTCAGGTCGGTGATGATGTCACTGCCTCGGCTAACCCTGATTGGCCCCTTAGGACAAAGGACTGGCCATCCTTATCTGTTCCTAAATCCTAAAGACTAAATTCTAAAGACTGGGGACAGCCTTCAGGGTTGGTTCCCAGTCACACCCTGCTGAACATTGGAATGTGGCCCTATCTTGCCCATAATACAAAAGCAGAACTAAAGGTTATCTATAGTTTCTACCCCTGAAGCTACCGAGTCAGCGGGAGTCAATCTCCTGTAACTACCCTATTGTTTAAGCAAGTAATCGAAGGTCAAGTCAGATAGCAAGGTTAAAATTCAAACAGCAGTTTTTACCCAAGTATGATTGCTACCATATTTCACCTCAGTCTCTCAGTGTTGCCTCCTCTGTGCTCAGAACAATGTTAACCAGGGTCCTGTGGGACCGATAGGAGTTTGGCGCTGTGGGCAAGCTCCTTTTGAGGACTTAGAAGTTGATTTTACAAAAATAGGGTCTAGCAGAGGAAATAAATACCTGCTAATCTTTGTTAGCACCTTTTCAGTTTGAGTCAAGGTATATTCCACTTGCACTGAAAAGGCGAGAGAAGTCACTAAGGCATTGCTGGAGGGTATAATTCCATGGTATGGACTGCCTCTGACCATAGGGTCTGATAATGGCCCAGCCTTTGAAGCAGAAATAGTACAAGTACCCAAGGCTTCAAGAATTAAATGGAATCTACATACAGCTTACAGGCCTCAGAGTTCAGGGAACGTAGAGCACATGAACTGAACTCCAAAGCCGGCTATGGCTAAGCTATGCCAAGAGACAACCTTACCCTGGACAGATATCTTGCCTCTTGTACTCCTGCGGGTACGCTGTGCCCCGAGGGCCAGGGTAGGTTTCTCTCCCTTTGAAATTCTATACGGTAGACACTCTCCCTTAATTCAGCCACAGGGAGATTTGTGGGAAACAGGGAACTTAGAAATCCAGAAACAACTACAAGGACTTGGAAAAACTGTCTTTGAGGTCCACAGGTAGGTTATTGACCGACTACCCATATCTCTAGGAACAGCTGTAAATCCTTATAAATCTGGAGACCAGGTTTGGGTAAAGGATTGGAAAAAGGAGCCTCTCAAATCTACCAGGAAGGGACCATATCCAGTCATATTAAACACTCCCACAGATCTTAAGGTTGCAGGACTGAACACCTGGATCCACCACTCCCGGGTGAAGACAGCCCACCAACTGAGTAATATCCAGTCTGAGTGGAAGGTGATCTCTGACCAGAAGCACCCTCTGCGGATCACCCTCATGGAGACAGCAGACCTGGCCAAGCAACCTGCTCCAAGGAATTCAAATATCACCCTGCTGAACTCTCCCTAACACTAATCTTTCTTTTTTATATTCTCCTCACATAACATGCTCTAGTATTTCTGGATAATCACTGGTTTTATATAATAACCAGAGGCCTGGTGCATGAAATTTGTGCACTCAGCCCAGCATTCACCCTCTCCAATCTGGGACCTCTTTGGGGATGTCCAACTTCAGGTTTGGGATCGGGCCTAAACCTGAAGTCAGAAATCCCTCTCACAATTTGGGACCACTGGCTTCTAACTGCTCACCTGCCTTCTTGTTTGCCCCCTAACTGCTCCTCTGCCTGCCTGATTGCCCCCAACTACTCTTCCCTGCTGGCCTGGTCACCCCCAAGCATTTTATTAGTATAGATATGACCCTTCACAGAAAATTTTACTAACCCTGCTTTACAAAAAGGGCTTGACAATTGAATCATTAGGACCAGACACCAAGATTTCCTTTCTTTGAATAGTGGAGGGAATAATTATCTTGTCTTTAAGTTGCCCTGAAATTAAAATGAGATAATGACTTAGAAAAGTATAAAAGCACCATATAAAGACAACTGTCTTTTTCATGTACTGAAAAGACAATAAAGTGGTAAAATTAAAAACACTATTTTTATTTTCCCCCTTCCTTCCTTTACAGCCTTTATTTAAACTTTGAAATTTATAAAAATTTCACTCCAATTTTCATTTCTTTACATTCAATATTATTTTGTATTGGTTTCAGGTTTTATATTAGTTACAAAATAGTGGTTAGACAATCATACACTTTACAAAGTGTTCCCCGATATTTCCAGTATTCACATCATACCATCATTACAACACTATTGACTATATTCCCTATTTAAGTGACAATGGGTTTACAGGTTCCTTCCAGTCTTTCTTTTTGTTGTTCAACTTTCCTTTCCTTTCTCACTTCTTCATCACTTTCCTTATGTAGTATCTCAATTGGCCATCAAAGCTCAGTGAAGACACTGGGACACGCTTAATCCACTTTACAGACCAGGACACTGAGGCTAATTCCAGT